TTTACTGGCTTCAAGTTATATCTAAAAAGAATATATCATGTTTTGATAAACATGATATCATTTCTTCCTCAAAATACCTGTACCTCTATGAATTTTCCCTGCAATTAGCATATTCAGTGTTTAAGAAAAAAAAAAAAGCTGTCTATCTTTTGCTATTTTAAGTGTAGGGGCTGTTTTTTGTTGTTGCTTTTTGGTTTGTTTTGGTTTGGTTTTTCTCCCCAGGGCTATTTGTACTCACAGAAAACACTGGTACAAATGTGGTTTTCTGTGTTTCTTTGTTTTCCTAATCCACCATAACTTTGGAATTGCTTTAGTAAAAATTAAGTTGTCCAACAACAGCAATCATGGACTGATGTTGCTCAAGAAAGGCTATGGGTAAGGAGAAGCACAAATGTTTTCTAGGACAATGTTAAGAAGAGGTAAAAACCTCAACAACAAGGAGAACTGTAGGGGAGATACTTAAACCTCATTCAGAAGGGCAAACATTGGAAGGAGGAGAAGACAAGGAACAGAGCAGGAGCCTTCCACAGAGAGCCTCTGAAAGACTCTATCCACTATGGTATTGAGGGAGACACTGAGACTCATAGCCAAACTTTGGGCAGAGTGCCAGGATACCTGTGGAAGTAGATGGAGATAGAAAGACCTGGAGGGGACAGGAATTCCGCAAGGAGAACAACAGTGCCAAAAAACCTGGGCCCAGGGAGTGTTGCAGAGATAGATACTTCAACCAAGAACCATGCATGGAGAACACCTAGACCCACTGTTCAAAGGAAGCCCATAGGCTGCTCAGTTTCCAATTGGATTCCCTATTAAGGGGTACAAGAGTGGTCTCTGCTATGGACATAGTTGAGCAAATGTCCTTACTCAATGGTAAGGCATCTTTTGGGTATATGCCTAGGAGGGGTATAGCTGGATACTGAGGTAGCACTATTCTTAATTTTCTCAGAAAGTGACAGATTAATTTCCAAAGTGATTGTACATAGTTACATTCCGACCAGCAATGGAGGAGGGTTCCCCTTTCTCCACCACCGCCCTAGCAACCATCATCCTTCGAGATTTTGGACTTAGCCATTCTAATGTATATGAGGTGAAATCTCAGAGTGGTTTTAATTTGCATTTCCCAAATGACTAAGCGTGCTGAGCATTCCTTTAAGTGTTTATCTGCCATTAAATATTCCTCTGTTGAAAATTCTCTGTACCCATTTTTAATTGGGTTGCTTGTACCTGCAGGAGACACTGGTACAAATGTGGTTTTGTTTGTTTCTTTGTTTTCCCCATCCATCATAACTTTGGAATTGCTTTGGTAAAAACTAACTTGTCAAACAACAGCAACTTTGGATTGATACTGCTTAAGAATGGCTTTGGGTAAGGATAGGAAGAAGTGCTTAATTTTTTTGTTATATAATTTAATGATTTATTCTCAGTAAAACTGAGATAGAAAGACCTGGATGGGAGAAGAGCTCCATAAGGAGAGTAACAGAACCAAGATATCTGGGCCCAGGGGTCTTTTCTGAGACTGACACTCCAACCAAGGACCATGCATGGAGATAACCTAGAACTCCCACCAAGATGTAGCCCATGGCAGTTCAGTATCCAAGTCAATTCCCTAATAAAGGTAACAGGAAACATCTCTGACATGAACTCAGTGGCTGGCTCTTTGATCACCTCCCCCTGAGGGGAGATCAGCCTTACCAGGCCACAGAGGAGGACAATGCAGCCAGTCCTGATGAGACCTGATAGGCTAGGATCAGATGAAGGGGAGGAAGACCTCCCCTATCAGTGGACTTAGAGAGGGGCATTAAAAAGAGGAGGAATAGAGGATGGATTTTGAGAGAATGAGGAAGGGGGCTACAGCTGGGTTACAAAGTGAATTAATTCTAATTAATATAAAAATAAAAAATAGAATTAAAAAAGAATGCCTTTAGGTAAAGAAAGGAGGAAGTGCTTTATTTTTTATTATATGATTTAATGATTTATTCTCAGTAAAACTGCTAAAACATATCTTAAAATTATCTAAAATAGAATTAGTTTACCAATTCTATTATTCATTATACTAAATTAACTTATATTTTTGTGGCATTAAATGATTCAATTTTGTTTTTGACAACCATATCACATTTTAATTATGCTATTTTGTAATAATATTGGACTTCATATGAGAGCCAGGTATTTATCTCACAGAAGTTAAAGCATACATTCATAAATGACTTATTTTAAATGTTTAATATTGTTTCATTCATAACAACAACAAAATATACACAACATAAATTTCTATCAAAAATTTATAGAGAAAATATATACATAAGGTACACACACATATGCATATGTGTATAAAATAACAATGAAAAAATGCTAAGAATCTGAAAAAAAGGGGAGAGGGGTATAGGGGAATGTTTGGAGAGAAGGAAGGAAAAGAGGAAATGATGTAAATATGGCACAAACTCAAACAACAAAAATTTATTTTAAAGAATAGATTGTACTTTCAATGAAGTTCACATTATACAATGGGGAGCCAGGATTCAACCACTGATTCTTAGTAGCAGAGACCATAGAGACTGAAGAGGACATTCTCTAACTAGACTAGTCTTCTAGTAAAGAGCTGAGAACACCAAAGAGCCTACAAAACCTCAACCAAAAATTTACTCTGTCTACCAGATATGCAGAGATGAAGACAAAACAGATAGAGTCAGAGACTGAGGGAATGCCCAAAGGATGCCTGGTCCAACCAAAGATACACCCTATCAGAGAATGCTAATCCTGACACTATGAAGGCCACTCTGCTAATATTGCAGACAGGATCCTGTCAGAGCTACCCTGAGAGGCTGTACCCAGCAGTGCCTCAAACACAGATGCTAAGATTCACAGCCAAACACTGGTCAATGCATAGGAAGTTTTCTGGAATAGAGGGAGGAAAGAAAGAAAAAAGATACAGAAGTGATAGGAACTCCACAAGAAAATCAACAGAGCCAACTAAATAGGGCCAGAGAAGAGAAGGGTTTGCAGAGGCTGAAGCATCAACCAAAGACCATGCATGAACTGGACCAAAGCCTCCCACAAAGCTGTAGCAGATGGGCAGCATTGGCTTCAAGTGTGGGAAGTGGAAACTGCATAGGACAGGGATTCACTTGTCAGCTTTTAGATCACCTTCCCCGGGCTGGACTGCCTTGACAGGCCACAGGTGAAGAGAACATTCAGTAATGATGAAACTTGATGAGCTGGGATGGATGAGAAAGGGAGTTCTCATTTTCTGAGGAAAAGTAGAGGAGGGAGGAAGAGACTAGGAGGGGAGGAGGGAAAAGGCTACAAGGATGTAAAGTGAATAAAATATATAATGAGAAAAAAAGAACAAGAGAGAAACAGACTGAAACTTATGCGGTTTTGGAGAGACGATTAGGCAATAAGGCCTTCAATTTATGAGACAACACAATTCAATATAGTATTAAAATCCAAGCTCCACAATCTTTCACTTAGTTCTGGGGCCTAGCTGGAACTTCAAGAGCTGAATATTAACAAAGGTCTACTCTAAGCATAGAAACTCTGCATGTTCTCAGAGGAAAGGAGGTGATTTAAAACTAAAACCAGATATCCATAAAAACTACAGTCAATATAGTCAATGCTTAGGACAAAGGGAAAAAAGCAGTCAGAACTTTGTAAAAGGAATTTCAGCTTCTTAGTATAGAATTCAATGTAGCTATTTTTTGGAAATCATTTATGTATGTTTGTGTATAAGCCTATCATGACCTATTCATTAAAGAATTCATGAAACATTGTATTCACAAAGTGATGAACAATATAATCCTCACAAACAAAATGTACTTTAAGTTTAATATTTTACACAGCTGAAAGTGCCAGCAACAATATAATGGGTGTCTTTATTTTTTTACTTTTTAATTTTTTTATTTATTACAATTTATTCACTTTTTATTCCAGATGTAGCCCCCTCCCTTGTACCCAAACAATCCTACCCTCTCTCTCTCTCCCTCCAATGCCCCTTCCCCAGATGTTCCTTAATTGAGGAATGGATAAAGAAACTGTGGTACATTTATATAATGGAATACTACTCCGCAATTAAAAAAAAAAAGTCATGAAATTTGCAGGCAACAGGTGGGATCTAGGAAAGATCATCCTGAGTGAGGTATCCCAGAAGCAGAAATACACACATGGTACATACTCACTTGTAAGTGGATATTAGACCTATAATAAAAGATAAACATACTAAAATCTGTATACCTAAAGAAGCTAAGCAAGAAGGAAGACCCTGCATAAGATGATCAATCCTCACTCAGAAAGGCAAATGGGATGGGCATTGTAAGAAGGAGAAAATGGGAAACAGGAAAGGAGCATCTGAAAGACTCTACCCAGCTGGGTATTAAAGCAGATGCTGAGACTCACCAAATTTTGGGCAAAGTACCGGAAATCTTAAGAAAGAAGGGGGAGATAGAAAGACCTGGAGGGGTCTGGAGCTCCACAAGTAGAGCAACAGAACCAAAAAATCTGGGCACAGGGGTCTTTTCTGAGACTGAAACTCCAATGAAGGACCAGTCATGAAGATAACCTAGAACCCCTGCACAGATGTAGCCCAGGGCAACTCAGTCTCCAAATGGGTGCTCTAGTAAGGGGAACAGGAGTTATCTCAGATATGAGCTCAGTGGCTGGCCCTTTGATCACCTCCCCCTGATGGAGGAGCAGCCTTACCAGGCCACAGAGGAAGACAATGCAGACAGTCCTAATGAGGCCTGATATGCTAGGGTAAGAGGGATATTTTTAATATTCAAATTTCTAAATACTTCTTCATGAAGTTCATCGTTTCTCCTCCTAAATATAATAAAAAGAATTTCTTACTATCTTACCTTAAATATTATGAAATTATGTCTCTCTTATACAACACAGAATAAACTATGTAAGCAGTCTAGAGTCTATGGATTCTAAGTGAGATTTCATAGTTCTTTTCATAACAATTTTCACTGTAAGTTACAAATGTTTAATGAAAAAAATCATACCACTTTTGTTATTCTTCCATACAATATGCCGATGACTTTCATAATTTGTATTCAACCAACTAAGTAGAATCATTTCTGAATTAGAATATATGTTGCTGGATGTAAAACAAGGATTGATTTTTGATATGTTATCTCCACACATGTTTGTTGCAGAATTGTAGCAATGTGGTGTCACCCGATATAGAATCATAACCTGGAATTTTGAAAAACATAGTTAATAGAATCAGATGGAAAATAAATTCACCTTTGAGAAGTTAATTATCCAAGGTACATAAATAAGAGAAGACACTAGTGTTTTCTGGTTAAATGTACCTTCTCAGGAATAAGAGAATAGCTGTGCTGTATGCCACTATTAGTCATTTTCAAGCAATAATTTCATTTTCAATTGAAAATAAAATTTTTCAATTAATAATTTCATTTCAATTGAAAATAGAAAATTTCAATTTCAGAGTTTTTTGCTTGCATGCCATTTATATTATAGGGTTCCTTACTATGCAACTTAAAACAAGATCCTTCCTAATTAAAAACAAAACAAAGCTATGCTCTTCAACAGCTCTGTAAGAATGCCAATTCATCAAAACATGTGAGTTTCTTATTCTTACAGTTCACAGAATTTAAAAATTTGAATATCAAGAATTTTATCTATCTGTATTAGTTACTTTTATTGTTGCTATTAAAAATATATAAAAAGAGCAATTTAAGAAAGAAGGGCTTTATATTGCCTCTCAGTTTTATGGTTAAGGAATCATTGAACCTGGAACATGAGATAGCTGTTCAGTTTCCAACCACCACCAGGAAGCAGACATAGATGAATACTGGAAGTTAAATTCCTTTTTTTTTTTTTTGGACCCTAACCAGTGGTATGGTATTGCATATATTTAGAGGGAACTTCTCAGCTTAATTTGCCTGATCTAAACATTCCTTCACAGACATGTTCAGAGGTTTTTCTTCCAGATACTATCAATTTGACAGTTAATATTAATTAATCATTATACTACTCGATATACATTTTGATACACAACTTACAAACATTTTGTTGGTTAGTTGGTAACAGGGTCTCATGTATCTCACATTGCCTTCTAACTGGCTAGGTATACAAGGCTGCACATTGCACTTCCAATTTTTCTCCCTCTCCCTCCCAAAAAAGGAATGTAAGTGTATGCCACTATGCCTGTCATATGTGTATTTAGGGAAATAAATAGTACAAAAATTTACAATTCAATGTACTTTTAGCTCATGGTATTAAGTTTGGTAATAGAATCACAGTCTCATTCACTACATACATATTATATCTGCTAGGTAGAGAAATATAGCACAGGGGACTCAGAGTTTCATTTCACTGACTATTGAAATAGATTCTAGATGACAGCAATAATATGAGTATTATTAATTTATTATGTATTTATCTAGATTACCAGATATTTGATTATATAAAAATTGATACTGCAAAACATTTCAAATGAATGAGTCTGATTAACTCTTTATATCATATACACAATCCTACATCAGTTCACTGACTAACCCTGACACTTTCAAAGATAGTTCTCTAATGTCTTGGATATGAAAACTACAACTTGTCTTGGATATGAATAACACACTTTGAGTGACATATGCTCTAGAGATGCGGTTGTTATGTTCACATCCACCCAGCACTCACCTCCTCATTCTAAAATATTTTTATTGTGGGAAATTGAAAATTGTCATTAAAAAGAATGGTTTCCTTACAAAGAAGCACACACAGCCAACAGAGACATCACTTCTGATACAAACTATTTGATACTAGTCCCAGAGCCAGCCTCTGGGATAATGCAATCTAAGATACTTTTTATGTTCAAGTAAATAAACTACAGAAAGAGGATGTTCATGTCTTTGTGTACCATATATTTACGTTGTGTCTTAAACAGCTTCAATTAAAAAATATTAGAAACACAAAACTGTTCTTTCCTTTCCATGAAAATTATAAAAATTTTAACCAAACAAATCTAGTACAGAATATTCCAATTTTATCTGACCCATGTGGTGAAAATACCAATCCACAAATATGAAATGTATTACTTTTACATTTCTGTGATACAAATATAGTACATTTTGGATCTTTATAACCCTTATTTCAAATGCTATATACTTCAAAATGCAACTGATAGCCTTGGAAATGGATTCCTAGGCTTTTCTGAGTAATAAAAATGTTGAGTTACTTAACTACAAATGATGAGATAAATGTTTGGGATTCATGATATGAGATACCTTAGACTTTATCTATCAAGTGTTTATTCTGTTTTGGAAAGGGAATAAGACTTGCAAGTAAACCTTGAGAAGGTACACAGATTTAATGATAGGCATACATGGATCATCGTGGTATACTCTAATACAGAAAGAGTCAAAATAAGCACAGTTTCTACAGAAGAGCTATTTAAAAGTTATCACTGCTGAAATAGCATTCAATTTTCATTGTACAACACAATGATAGCTCTTCAAATATGCTACTATACATATATTTATATAAATAAAAGGAGTATAGAAAATACAACAGTTCATATAATTAAAACACAGTTTTGATGAAAACAATATTTTTGTTTAAATTAAAGTCACAAGGTATGTATTGATGGAATGAAATGTTAAGCAGAGGATAGACTATGTTGTTAAATATGTCAGCTAAATCTTTAATTTAGTTAAATTTATTTCAAAATTCTATATTCAGAGCTTTCCTACACTTAAACATTTCTTACATAACCATTTTTGTTAAAGGTCTGATTTATAAATAGGCATCAATAAACTGGCCTTTGTAAGATCAAAAACTCAAGTGATAACACATACTGGAGAGGTTGTGGAGAAAGGGGAACCCTCCTCCAATGCTGGTGGGAATGTAAACTTGTACAACCACTCTGGAAATCAATCTGGCACTTTCTCAGACAATTAGGAATAGTGCTTCCTCAAGATCCAGCTATACCACTCCTGGAAATATATCCAAAAGATGCTAAACCACATGACAAAGACATTTGCTCAACTATGTTCATAGCAGCATTATTCATAACATTCAGAATCTGGAAATGGCTTAGATACCCATCAACTGAAAAATGGATGCAGAAATTGTGGTACATTTACGTAATGGAATACTACTCAGCAATTAAAAACAAGGAAATCATGAAAATTTAAGGCAAATGGTGGGACCTAGAAAAGATCATCCTGAATGAGGTAACCCAGAAGCAGAAAAATACATATGGTATATACTCACTTATAAGTGGATGTTAGACATAAAATAAAGGATAAACATACTAAAATCTATAATCCTAAAGAAGTTAAACAACAAAAAGGACCCTAGGGAAAAGGCTGAAACCTCAGTCAGCATGGCAAACAGAATAGACATCAGAAGTAGGAGAATACAAGGAACAGGAACAGGAGCTTTCTACATGGTGGCCTCTGAAAGACTCTACCCATTATAGTATGGAAGGAGATACTAAGACTCATATCCAAACTTTGGACAGAGCGCCAGAAATCTTATGGAAGAAGAGGGAGATAGAAAGACCTGGAGGGGACAAGAACTGCACAAGGAGACAAACACAGCCAAAAATTGCGGACCCAGGTGTTACTGCCAAGACTGATACTCCAAAAATGATCCTGCATGGAAAGAACCTAGTCTCTTTGTTCAGTTTCCAAGTGGGTTCCTTAGTAAGGAGAGCAGTGTCTGTACCCTGTCTTAAAAAAAGAAAAGGGAAGGGGGATAAAAGGAGCCTATAAAAAGGAGACACTGATCCCCAGAAAATGTTTAAATGTTAAAGCACATTATTCTATAACACAACACAATGCATTCCCTCTCAGCCATAAGCCTCTTCTACCTTGTGAGACAAGATGTCTCACTTAACCTGAAGATTGAGTATGCAACTTGTGACATGTAGATAATATACAAATATGTTAATTTACAGATCAAATATAAAGCAGAAAATAAAAATAACTCAGCAATGAGATTAATTTCCTAGTCTTTTACACTAAGCCCAGGAAAAATATTTATTATTATTATTTATTACAATTTATTCACTTGTGTTGTAGCTGTAGTCTCTTCACTCATCTCCTACTGGTCCCACCTTCCTTCCTTCTTCCTCCACTATGTCCACTTCCTCCACTATGTCCACTGATAGGAGAGGTACTTCTCCCTTGATTTCTGACCCTAGCTCATCAGGTCTCATCAGGACTGTCTGACTCCTCAGTCTCTTTGGCCTAGTAAGGATACCTCACTAGGGGAGGTGATCAACAAGAAGCCAATGGAGTTCATGCCTGAGAATATCCCTGCTCCCGTTACTAGGGAACACACATGGAGACTTAGCTGCCTATGGGCTACATCTGAGCATGTGGTCTAGATCCACTCCATGCATGGCCCTTGGTTGATTCATCAGTCACTGCAGGACGCACTGGGCTCAGATAGTTTAGCTCTGTTGTTCTCCTTGTGGAGCTCCAATCCCCTCCAGATATGGCTTCATCTTTCTTCCATAAGATTCCCTACACTCTACACAAAGTTTGGCTATGAGTCTCAACATCTACTTCAATAGCCTTCTGGGTACAGTCTTTCAGAGGTCCTCTGTGGTAGGCTCCTGTTCTATTCCCTGTCATCTCTTACTTCTGATGTCTATTCTGTTCTCCATTCTGAATGAGGATTGAGCCTCTTCTCTAGCGTCCTCCTTGTTGTTTAGTTTCTTTAGCACTACAGAATTAATATGTAGACCTTGAACTCATTGTCAAAGGAAACAACTTCCTGAACAGAACAGCAAAAGCACTGGCTCGAAGAACAACAGTCAATAAGTGGGACCTCATGAAACTGAAAAGCTTTTGTAAAACAAAGAACACTGTCATGAGAACAAAAGACATCCTACAGACTGGGAAAAGATCTTCACCAGCCTTACATCTTACAGAGGGCTAATATCCAGAATATAAAAAAAAAACCTCAAGAAGTTAAACACCAACAAACCAAGTAATCTAATTAAAAATAAATGGAAAGGGGCAGGGAGGAGATGAGGGAGGGAGGGTGGGGTTGGGAGGAGGCTACTGCTGGGATACAAAGTAAATAACCTGTGATTAATATAAAAAATAAAAATTAAAAAAGTAAAAATTATTAAAAAATGGGGCACAGAGCTAAACAGAGGAATATTGGACAGCAGAGAAACAAAGAAATGCTCAATGTATACTATCATATCATCTGTGAATAGTGATACTTTCACTTTTTTCTTTCAGATTTGTATCCTGTTGATCTCCTTTAGTTGTCTTAATGCTTTAGCTAGGACTTTCAAGAACTATTGTGAAGAGATAAGGAGAGAGTGGGCAGCCTTGCCTTGTACCTGATTTCAGGAAGATTGATTTTGATGTTGGCTTTAGGTTTGCTGTATACTGCTTGTACAATGTTTAGGTATGTAACTTGTATCCATGATCTCTCCAAAACTTTAAATATGAACAGGTGTTGAATTTTGTCAAAATTTTTTTGTTTTGTTTTTTTGATTTTTTTTTTTTTTGCATCTAAGGAGATGATCATGTGGCTTTCTTTCAGTTTGTTTATATGGTGGATTACATTGATGGATTTTCATATGTTGAACCACCCCTCCATACCTGGGATGAAGCCTACTTGGTTATAGTAGTTGATATCTTTTATGTATTCTTTTAAAAAAACATTTATTTATTTATTATGTATACAGTGTTCTGCCTTCATGTACACCTGCACACCAGAAAAGAGTACCAGATCTCATTATACATAGTTGTATGCTACCATATGTTTGCTGGGAATTGAACTCAGGACCTTTGGAAGAGCAACCAGTGCCCTTAACCTCTGAGCCATCTCTCCAGCCCTTATGTATTCTTGGATTGGCTTTGCAAGTGTTTTATTGAGTATTTTTGCATCAATGTTCATAAGAGAGATAGGTCTGAAATTCTTTTTTGTTGTTGTTGTTGTTGGGTCTTTGCATGGCTTAGGTATCAAGGTGACAGTGGCTTCATAGAATGAAGTTGGTAATGTTCTTTCTGTTTGTCCTTTGTGGAAAAGTTTGGAGAGTCCAGGGTTAGCACTTCTATGAAGGTCTGGTAAAATTTTGTGCTGAAGCTATGAGCTTTTTTTGGACAGGAAACATCTGGACAGGAGACTTTTGGTGAGTGTTTCTATTTCCTTGGTGAATATAAGACTATTTATTCTATTTACCTGATCTTGATTTAATTTTGGTAAAGAGAATTTATCAAAGAAATTGTCAGGAAATTTCCAGGCAAATGGTGGGAACTAGAAAGATCATCCTGAGTAAGGTAACCCAGAAGCAAAAAGACACATACTGTATATATTCACATATAAGTGGATATTAATAATATGATATAGGATAAATGTAGTAAAATCTATAGCCCTATAGAAACTAAACCAGAAGGAGGACCCTAGGAAAGAGGCTGAAACCTCATTCAGAAGGACAAATAGGGTAGACATCGAAAATAGGAGTATAAAAAGAACAAGACAGGAGCCTTCCACAGGGGGCCTCTGAAAGACATTTCTCATCAGTGTATCTACAGAGATACTGAGCCTCATAGCCAAACTCTGAGCAGAGTGCAGGAAACCTTATAAAAGAAGAGGGAGATAGAAATACCTGGAGGGGAAAGGAACTCCACAAGGAGATCAACAGAGCCAAAAACCCTGAGCCCAGGGGTCCAGAAGAGACAGATAATGTAACCAAGGACAACTCCTGGAGAGGACATAGATCTCCTGCTCATTGGAAGCCCATAGGCTACACAGTTTCCCAGTGGGAACCCTAGTAAGTGGAGCAGTGGCTGTCTCTGACATGAAATCAGTGGCTGGCTCTTTGTTGACTATCCCCTGTGGCCTTGCCAGAGGAAGATGATGCAGTCAGCCATAATGAGACTTAATAGGCTAGGATTAGATAGAAGGGGAGGAGGACCTCCCTTATCAGTGGACTAGGGAAGGGTCATAGGGGGAAAAAGTGAGGGTTTGTGGGACTGGGAGAAGATGAGGGAGATGGCTACAACTGCGATACAAAGTGAATAAACTGAAATAAACAAATAAATAAATCGCCAGATAAATAAATAAATAAGTAGATAAATAAATAAGTAGATAAATAAATAAAAGAAATGTTCATTGTCCTTAGTCATCAGGGAAATGCAAGTCAAAATGACCCTGAGATTCTACCTTACACCCAATAGAATGACTAAGGTAAAAAACTCAAGGGGGACAAAACATACTGGAGAGGTTCTGAAGGAAGGGAAACCCTCCTCTATTGCTGGCAAGAATGTAAACTAGTAAAACCACTTTAGAAATCAATATGGCGCTTTCTTAAAAAATTAGGAATAATGCTATATCAAGATCCAGCTCTACCACTTCTGGGCATATATCCAGAATATGCTCAACCATACAACAAGGACATTTGTTCAACCATGTTCAGCTTTATTCATAATAGCCAGAATCTGGAAACAACGTAGATATCCTTCAACTGAAGAATGGATACAAAAATTGTGGTACATATACACAATAGAATACTACTCAGCAATCAAAAACAAGGAAATCATGAAATTTATGGCAAATGTTCGGCAGTAGAAAATATCTTAAGTGAGAAGCAGGAATACACATATGATATATACTCACTGTTAAGTGGCTATTATCCATATTATATAGGATAATTCCCAAGTCTTTATACACAATACAGAAAAAAATTTCTTGAAGTATACTGACATCTGCAATTATGGATGGAGAACTGGCAATAAGACTATCATATGTAATATGGTGTTTTACTATATTAAAATAAAAATTAAGAGCAAAGCACTTGTAGTAACAGCTCATCTCTCCGTATCTCAAATACGTGGACAAATCTCATAAAAGGAAATAGAAAAAAGATAACTGAGACTACAATAATACATAACTGAAATATATAAATCATGGTTATATAAATAACAGGAGTTATAATCTTTAGTATCTTAAACTCCATAAATTATCTTATTTCTCTAAATCCTAAAAAAAATCTGCTTACATACTTTAACTCAGAATCTGTCTAGTTTTATTTCACAGAAAACAATTTAGTAAAATGTATTAAACCACAAAAGTACAATATAAAAATAAACTGTTACAGTAAGCCTTATTGATAATAGCCATATACCAAGATAAGGAAGGAAGACAATTACAGTCTAAAAAATGAATCTCAGTAGAGTAGAAACAGGGCTGAAAAGTGGAGTAGGTCCTGCTATTTCAATTCTGGATAATGAGTATGCGTATGGAACATGATTTAAATATAGTAACAAATCTTCTGACTCCATTACTTTATTATATTAAAAATTATATTGTTATTTAACTAAAATTATATTTTATTAAAATGTATATTAAAAGATTTTAGAAAAATGTTTAATCAGAAAGACTGATCCATAGGTAAAAGGATGGAACACATCAACCACAGCTCTGAATCATTCACTTCCAAATATTTCCATAAAAAGGAAAACGTAATTTATTTAAGCCACTGTGTTTATGATGTGTATGATGTGCATAACATCATTTCACTATTGCACTATACGTGTGAATGAACAACACCAACAAAATTACAACAAAAAAGAGTGGAAGTATTACCTTGTATATCTGAAGAAATACATCTGTCCATGCCCGTTTACTAAAGGCTTCAAATTTATCGACATCTATATTAACAGAACATTTTCTCTTAAGTGTACAGAGAGCCTTGTTTTTAGTGGATGCCTTTTAAAAATGAAATACAACAGCATAAATAAAAAAGCAAAGCAAATATTAATGTCAATTTTTAACTATGATATAGGATTTTCCCATTTTAAATAAATATTCAGATGCTCATTTTATGCATTCATCAAGACATTTACCTCTATGAAAGCACTGAGGCTTTCCACACAGAGAATTATCACAGACTTATTTACTTCATACATTTATGTTTGTCCTCTCTAATAGAAGGAATAGAAAAGGAAACAAAGTCCCTCTGAGTCTGAGTTCAAAAATCTGCACCCTTTGGAATGACCCACAAGAACTCAGCATAAGACCATAGTACAGGTACCTGACTCTCTATGGCTTGTCAAACGGTAAGTAAGTGATTTCCACAAGTAAAATTCATTTGCCTAAAAAATAATTTTTCTCAGCAAGTGGTTTCTAAAAAATGAGCTCTATACTTTGAGAAAACTATGAATTTCTTGTTTAATTTCTCTGTTCTCCCCTAATATTTCAAAAAGGAAAGTATCAAGTCTTTGCAAGATTACATTTTTTTCTAAAAGACATAGTCTTTTTAAAATTTTTATTTTTGTAATATTAATCACAGGTTATTTACTTTGTATCCCAGCCGTAGCCTCCTCTCTCATTCCCTCCCAATCCCACTCTCCTTCCCTCATCTCCACCCTGTCACGTTCCAAGACCATGTTAGGGGAGGTCCTCCTCCCTTCCATCTGACCCTAGCTTATCAGGTATCTTCAGGACTTGCTGCAATGTCCTTCTCTGTGGCTTAGCAAGGCTGTTCCTCCCTCGGGAAGTGGGAGAGGTAAAGGAGCCAGTCAATGAGTTCATGTCAGAAATAGTTCCTGTTCCCCTTACTAGGAAAACCCACTTGGATACTGAGCTACCATGGGCTACATCTGAGCAGGGGTTCTAAGTTATACCTATACATGGCCCTTGGTTGGAGAAACAGTCTCATAGAGGACCCCCGTGCCCTGATATATCTGGGAAAGGATCTTCACCATCCCTGTATCTGACAGAGGTCTGATATCCAGAATATATAAAGAAGTTAAAAAGCAATAAATCAAGTAATCCAATTAAAAAATGGGGTATGGAGCTAAACAGAGAATTCTCTGTAGAGGAATATAGAATGGCAGAAAAACACCTAATGAGATGCTTAATGTCCTTAGCCATCAGGGAGATGCAAGTCAAAACGATCTTGAGATTTCACCTTACACCCTTCAGAATGGCAAAGGTTAAAAACTCAAAAGAAGACCTCCCTTATCAGTGGTCTTGGGGAGAGGCATGCGTGCAGAGGGAGGAAGAAGGGGGGTATTGAGACCTGAGGAGGGAGGTAACCACAGGGGGGATACAAAGTGAATAAAGGGTAATTAATAAAGAATTAAAAAAGAAACTCAAGTGACAACACATGCTGGAGAGGTTGTGGAGAAAGGGGAACTCTCCTCCATTGCTGGTGGGAATGTAAAAATGTACAACCACTTTGGAAATCAATCTGGTGCTTTCTCAGACAATTAGAAAGAGCACTTCCTCGGGATCCAGCTATACCACTCCTAGGCATATATCCAAAAGATGCTCAAGTACACAACAAGGACATTTGCTCAACCATGTTTGTAGCAGCTTTATTCATAATAGCCAGAAGCTGGAAACAACCCAGATGTCCCTCAGATGAGAAATGGATACAGAACTTGTGGTACTTTTACCCAATGGAATACTATTCAGCAATAAAAAAACAAGGAAATAATGAAATTTGCAGGCAAACGGTAGGATCTAGAAAAGATCATCCTGAGTGAGGTATATCAGGAGCAGAAAGACACACAAGGCATAAACTCACTTGTATAGACCTATAAGATAAGATAAACATACTAAAATATGTGCACCTAAAGAAGATAAACAAGAAAGAAGACCCAGGGTAAGATGATCAATCCTCACTTAGAAAGACAAATGGGATGGACATTGGAAGTAGGAGAAAACAAGTAACAGGAGCCTACCACAGAAGGCCTCTGAAATACTCTATCTAGCAGTGTATCAAAGCAGATGCTGAGACCCATAACAAAACCTTTGGTAGAATGCAGGGAATCATATGCTAAAAGGGGGAGTTAGTATGACTGGGAGAGGACAGGAGCTCCACAAGGACAAGACATACAGTCTTAAAATTTACATTTAAGGATAAAATTGCATAAGTGTATGTACTTTTGCCTATAGACTTAATGCCCAGAAGCCAGACAAGTGTGACTCCCCAAAGGTTTATAGCAGGCTAGACTAGAGATATCAGCTATTTCTAGGTTCAAGTGAGGGAACCGCCTTAAACTATATGACAGAGTACAAAGAGAAGGCTTAACATCAATGTCTGCTTTCCATATGCATAAGCACTGATATGTTTTCAAACACATACACTTGCACCCATTCACATGTAAACAGGTAGACATGTATGCATGCATATCACACACTTAAACCTGCAAGAAAAGAAAAAAGTAGAAAGTAATTAATTCATTTTTGTATAGGGACCTCAAAAAAAAATAATTAACTCCGACACCTGTGTTCATACATACACACACACACACACACACACACACACACACACACACAATCATACACATACACACTCACGTACAAACATTAGCTGTTAAGAGATGCTTAAGCTTTAGGGATATTTCAGATACAAAGTCACAACATCTAAACTTGACTCATTTTAAAAAATACCATATATGATTAAATTTAATGACAATATAAATTATAACTAGAAATTATCTTACTGTAATTTCAAGCCATTTCTTATAATCTCCTGGTTCAAGCAAAAATTCTGGCAATACATGAGAAATGCATCCACCTTGAGCACTAAAAGAAAACCCCAAATTATAAAATTATTATAAACATTTGATATAACTTTTGGGTAAATTATTTCAATAGTGTCATGTTTTTTATATTACTTGTATAATTAATTTAAAATATTCTCTCAATACGTAATTATGTATGATATTACTTTTATAAAATTTCATTAATGAGAAAAATTATTCACTGTTCATAATCACACTTATCTATGTTTATGTGTTGACTGAATATATTGTGTGCAATGATTCTGGTCTTTTCAGCCAAGGCAATATTTTATTATTGTCATAACTACTAGCACTTAAAAAAACATCTGCAGAATGCTTAGATTTAAAAAAAAATATGATCGTTAGTCTTCTAATACCAAATGAGTATCATTTGATATGCCTAAAACAGTAAAATAACCTATTAATGAACTAATTTATTCTAAATGGCATATTGAAAACTTAGGAATAGTTTATTGTATAAACTTCTGATAATATAAATGAAGCCCTATATATGATGAATTTTAAATTATGCAAATATTTATGCATATGTATGTAAGTTACCACATTCAACATGTTAATACATACACACACTATTTCAACACTGTGAAATTTCAAAAGTGATTTAAACCATACTCCTTCACATGGAAGCTTGTCATCAATAGAACCACCAGCAAAAATCAAGTAAACTATGTTGAAAGATGGTTTTTATTGGAGGTTTGGGTATTTGGATATAACTCATTTAATGAGCACAGAGCAGCATTGAGCTCTATAGCATTAACAAAGAAGTCTACAACTAGTGCTCAATGTAGGATACACTTTCATCAATTTAGGCCTGTGGTTAAAGAGAAGTGAGGAAAAGAATAGGAAGAAAAGATGTAAACATGAAACATGAAACCCTGACACATTTACTAATGAATAATAATAGAAATAAAAGGAAGGGAACTTGTGAGAATGAAGTAGTGTACCTCCCTCTCTCTTCCCCTCTGAATCCTGCCATTTTTCCTTCTTGTCCTCCCTTGACCCTGTCCTAGTAAGCTGATAGGGGAGGTCCTCCTCCCCTTTCATCTGATGCTACCCTATGAAGTCTCCTCAGGACTGGCTGCATTATCTTCCTCTGTGGCCTTGTAAGGCTATCCTACCCCTTCAGGAGGAGGTGATAAAAAAGCAAGCCACTGAGTTCAGATCAGAGACAGCCCATGTACCCCTTACTATAGAACCCAATTGGAGACTAAGCTGCCATGGGTTACATCTGTGCAGGGGTTCTAAGGCTATCTCCATGCATGGTCAGTGGTTGGAGTATCAGCCTCAGAAAAGAATGCTCGGCTCAGAATTTTTGGTTCTGTTGCTCTCCTTGTGTAACTCCTGTTCCCTCCAGAACTTTCTATCTCCCTTTTCTTTCTTAAGATTCCCTGCACTTTGCCAAAAACATGGCTAGGAGTCTCAGTATCTCCTTTGATAACCTGCAGGTTAGAGTCTTGCCAATGTCATCTGTGGTAGGCTCCTGTCCTATTCCCTGTTTTCTCCCTCTTCTGATGTCTGTCATATTTGCCTTGCTGAATGAGGATTGATCAGCTTATTCAAGATCCTCTTTCTTTTTTAGCTTCTTTAGGTTTATAGATTTTAGTATGTTTATCTTATAGTATATGTCTAATATCCACTTATAAGTGAGTATGTATCATGTGTGTCTTTCTGCTTCTGGAATACCTCACTCAGGATGATCGTTTATAGTCCCCATCATTTGCCTGCATATTTCATGATTTCCTCATTTTTAATTACTGAGTAGTATTTCATTGTGTAAATGAACCACAATTTCTGTACCCATTCCTCAGTTGAGGGACATCTAGGTTGTTTCCAGATTCTGGCTATCACAAATAAAGTTGTTAGAAACATAGTTGTGCAAATGTCCTTGTTGTGTACTTTTGCATATTTTGGATATATGCCTTGGAGTGGTTTTGATGGATCTTCCTAATTGTCTGAGAAAGCACCAGTTTGATTAACAAAGTGGTTTTACAAGTTTACAATCCCATGAGCAATGGAGGAGTGTCCCCTTTCTCCAAAACCTCCCTAGCATGTGTTGTCACTTGAGTTTTTGAGGTTAAATATTCTGGTTGATGCAAAGTGCAATCTAGGGTAGTTTTTATTTGCATTTCCCTGATGACTAAGGATGCTGAACATTTATTTAAGTGTTTCTCTGCCATTCGATATTCCTCTATTGAGAATTATCTGTTTAGGTCTGTACCCCATTTTTAAATTGGATTATTTGGTTTGTTCATGTTTAACTTCTTGACTTCTTTATATAATCTGGATATTAGCTACTGTCAGATATAGGGTTGGTGAAAATCTTTTCCATGTCTGTAGGCTCATTTTGTTCTTTTGACCTTGTCCTTTGCTTTACAGAAGTTTTTCAGTTTCATGAAGTCCTATTTATTGATTGTTGTTCTTAGAGCCTGTGCTGTTGGTGTTCTGTTCAGGAAGTTGTCTCCTGTGCCAATGAGTTCAAGGCTCTTCCCCGCATTTTCTTCTAACATGTTTAGGTTTAGTGTGTTTGGTTTTATGTTGAGGTCTTTGAACCACTTGGACTTATGTTTTGTGCAGGATGATAAAGGTATGGTTCTATTTGCATTTTCTACATTTAGACATCCAGTTAAACCAGCACCATTGTTGAAGATGCTATCTTTTTTCCAGTGTATGGTTTTGCCTTCTTGGTCAAAAATCAGGTATCCATAGGTGTGTGGGTTCATTTATGGGTCTTCTATTCGATTCCATTGATCCAACATTATATTTCTATGCCAGTAGTATACAGATTTTTATTACTGGTGCTTTAGAATACAGCTTGAGATCAGTGATGGAGATATCTCCAGAAGATCTTTTATTGTACAGAATCATTTTATCTATTTTGGTTTTTTGTTATTCCACACGAAGTTGAAAATTTTTTTCAAGATCTGTAAAAAGTTGCATTGGTACTTTGATGGGCTGTAGAATTCTTTTGGTAAGATGGCCATTTTTACTATATTAATCCTGGCAATCCATGAGCATGGGGGATCTTTCCATCTTATGAGATCTACTTCTAGTTCTTTCTTCAGAGACTATAAGGTTTTTTGTTTTTGTTTTTGTTTTTTTTTTCATACCAGTCTTTGACTTGCTTGGTTAGAGTTATAGCAAGGTACTTTATAACTTTTGTGGCTATCATGAAAGGTGTTGTTTTCCTAATTTCGTTTTTAGCACATTTGTCTTTTGTGTACAGGAGGGATACTGATATTTTTAGTTAATTTGTTATCCAGCCACTATACTGAAGGGGTTTATCAGTTGTAAAAGTTACTTGGTAGAAATTTTGAGGTCACTCAAGTATGCTATCGAATCATCTACAAATAGTGATATTTTGACCTCTTCTTTTCTGATTTCAATTCTATTTATCACCTTTAATTTTCTTATTGCTCTAGCTCTAGCAAGGACTTCAAGGACTATGTTGAAGAGATATGGAGAGAGTGGGCAGCCTTGTCCTATTCCTGATTTCAGGGGGATTAATTTAGGTTTCTTTCGATTTATTTTGATGTTGACTATAGGCTTGCTGTTTATTGCCTTTACTATGTTTAGATAAAAACCTTCTATCCCTTATCTCTCCAGGACTTTAAACATGAAAGAGTATTGTATTTCATCAAATGTTTTTTCATTATCTAAGGGGATGACCATGTGCCTTTTTTTCCTTTCAGTTTGTTTATATGGTGGATTACATTGATGGATTTCTGTATATTGAACTACCCTGTATGCCTGGGATGAAGCCTACTTGGTCATGGTGGATGTTATTTTGGTGTGTTCTTGTGTTCGGTTTGTGAGTATTTTGTTGAGTAATTTTGCATCAATGCCTATAATGGAGATTGACCTGAAATTCTTTTTTGTAGTTGGATCTCTGTCAAGTTTAGGTATCAAGGTGACTGTGCCTTCATAAAATAAGTTTGGTAATGTTCTGTCTCTTTCTATTTTGTGGAATAGTTTGAAGAGTATTGGTGTTAGCTCTTCTTTGAATGTCTGGCAGAATTCTACTTTGAAACCATCTGCTCCTGGGCTTTTTTTATGGGAGAATTTTGATAACTGCTTCTATTTCCTTAGGGATGTAGGGCTATTTAATTTATTTACCTGGTCTTGATTCAGCTTTGGCAATTGGGATCAATTATGAAAATTGTCCTTTTCATTTACATTTTCAAATTTTGTCACATGCAGGCTTTTGAATTAAGACCTAATGTTTGTTTGGATTTCCTCAATGTCTGCTGTTATGTCTCCCTTTTCAATTTTTGGTTTTGTTGATTTGGATTGTCTCTCTGCCTTTAGTTAATTTTGCTAAGGGCTAATCTATCTTGTTGGTTTTCTCAAAGATCAAGTTCTTGGTTTCATTGAATCTTTGAATTGATCTCTTTGTTTCTAGCTTATTGATGTCAGCCCTGATTTTGATTATTTCCAGCTGTCTACGTATCTTTGGTGTGTCTGCTTTTATTTTTCCCCCTCTAGGGATTTCAGGTGAGCCATTAAGTTGCTTGGACGAGTTGAGCTTTTCTATTTAAAACATTAAAATTTTTCTTTACTATTACTATCATTTATTGCAATTTATTCACTTTGCATCCATGCTGTAGGACACTTCCTCAACCTACTCCAGGTTTCACCCTCTTCTCAGTTCCCCTGCTATGTCTCTTCCCTAGTCCACTGATAGTGGAGGCCCTTCTACCCAAATATCTAATTGTATTCTATCAGGTTTCATCAGGACTGTCTGGATCCTCTTTCTCTGTGACCAACTTAGGCCCCCGGGCCAGGGGGAGGTAATCAAAGAGCTGGCCACTGAGTCCCTCTCAAAGACAGCCTCTTCTCCTCTTACTATGAAACCCCCATGAACACTGTGCTGCCCATGTGGTACATCTGAGCAGAGGGTCTAGGTCCTCTCCATGTATAGTCCTTGGTTGATTCATCAGTATCTGCAGGATGCCCTGAGATCTGATTTTTTGGCTTTGTTTGTCTCTTTGCAGAGCTCTTGTC